TGACTTCTAGAAATAATGGGACTTTGTAATTTCTCTTAAACCCAGTAGAGAGGCTTTTAAGTGCTTATTAAATGAAAGCTCCTGTGATTTTCCCTATTTTCTACCTTCTATAGTGGATGATTTTGTCTAATCATGTTCTTGACAAATTCCTTCTCCAGGATGTGAGCTCAGACTTGCTTCTGTTCGCCCCCAAGGGCTTGACCGCTGCAGCTTGGGCATGGCCTTGGACATCACTGAAAACTTGTCCTCGTGCTCCTCGGGTTCCAAAGAGTCGGCGTATTTCTTCATGCCTCGCCTCCCAAATCGGTGCGCAGATGTGAGCGAGGCACACCCCTAGACTGGACTCAGTTTTTGGTGTGATAATGTTGAGTAAAGATGAACGCAAGGTTTGTCGTTATTGTTGGCCAGGTTGGTCCGGGTTGAACCTCCTGGTCACAGACTGACTTCCCCCGCACCCCATCGGCTTCTCGCGCTCCAAAGTGCAGGGGAGATATGATGGCAGGATTACGAAGACTAGTGGGCCAACCGGACACCCAGCCGCAAAAGGGCTCCTGTGTCTGTGTTGTTTCACAAGATATCGCACGAGCGCAGTGTGATTCTCTCATCAGTTTAAAAAACCGAGAATCCTCGTTTGTATACTGTAAGGTCGATAAACGAGGAGGGTATCAGTTTCCTTCGCAACAATGACGAGAAGGCTTGACATCATTGTTGAGTTTATTCTTGGTCTTTTGTCTGGACACTTGTCTAGAGGATGAGAACGATAGGTATGTACGCGCTGCCATCGTCCTGATTAATCAGTCAAAGACATTTGTCGCACCATTTGTTTGTAGCATTCTTGTATCTCTGTGAAGGTGCTTTGTACTGTGTATTAAATATCATCGTCGGTTTTCTACTACTTGATAAGATGAAACATATAGGAGCCAAAATCCTTAAGACTAATTGCATAGAAGATTGGGATAATGAGGCGCTCTGCGAGGAATAACATTAGCATGTGTATCGAATCCACATACTAGACACATCATATCTTTAATTGTGTGCGTAGTAGTAATGTATTACACATCGTATAGTTATCTTATGTTGTTAAGTTTTTTTCTTATACAGTCTTGATAGCTTACTTCTAACATATGCAATCAACTCCTTTTACTATTGTCGATCTAAATTAGTCCCATACCAAAGCCATCTTCCCCTCCTGTTACTTCCATTCCTCACTAGAAACTGAGACCAGAGGTGAAAAAGTGTGCCAAATGCTGATAAAATAGCACTAACCCAAGTCACCACCCACATCAACACAATATCCTCTCTGAAAACATGTCCTTTTTCTAAGATTTTTTTTAAATGGAGACAGGACAGTTTCTGGTCTGTATGTGATGCCACAGGTCCTGCTGGACACCCTGACCCCACACTCTTTCCTTTCTGTCTTTCTCACTGCACCAGGCTTGGAGATTAAGGCACGCCCCTTTCTGAGTTCTAGGTGGGGCCCTTGGTACGCCTCCTGGGCTCTCAGTTTGCACAGCCCGGGGCCTGGTAAGGTTGACTGGAGGCATTCAGCCCGTGTCCTCACGGATTTCGCTTGATGTGACACCCAACCCGCCTCCCTCCGCACCCCATGATGTCAGAAAAAACACGACAGGGAAAATTCACCGCAGCCAAGAAAAAGGTAAAACGCACCAGGTCATAGCCCCTAATCCAGTCACAGAACCCCTCCGACGACAAGACCATTGCCAGAGTCCAAACTACTCCTGAGGCATACCAGACTGGGCCCCCCAACACCAGCGAATCTGACCTCCCCCAACCAAATTCTTGTCAGTCAGCCCCACCCCTTCAACAAG